GCCTTGTGTCGGGAACATATGCATTAGAAGATGAAAATCGCGAATTATCCATTAATTCAAATTAGAGAGCGCCATTTTTAAAAACGGAAGTATTCCCCGGATACCTGTTTTGTACCCGATTGGGCGTGACGTAAATATGAGATATTTATGGAGAGGTATATTTTTACGTACAATATAAGTGTCAAAAAGGTTGTATTTATTTAAGATAAAAAATTAAGAAAACAGTTTAATTATCAGCCTCCGGGAAGGTTTTACCGGTTTAAGCTGTTTTATTCTTACTAGTGGACGTCCAGTGGTCGAAATTTGACCATTACTATTTTAAATTATAAGTTTGGACAGTATTAATTTATTCTCAAATACAATACACAATAAACAAAAGAGTGTGCATGAGTGTAAGAGAGTGTAAGGGTATGTATATGCGTGTGTGTCAAATACATGATAGTGTGAGTAATGTTTTCTTTAATGATTTAACTAATATTTTATACATAATTAAAATATTAGCATTCTACACTCCTCTATACAAACTATAAAGGTGAGTATAGACTACAACATTTACTTGTAACAGAACAACGAGCCGCTCTATGATATGTTCTAGTACCATCTAGTACCATCCTTTCACGAACTAAACTACGAGCACGCTCGCCTCTTTGTTACAAACCATATTGCATATTGGTGTAACATTTCGTCGAGCCACGAGTGCGGGCGATGCGCGGATGCGATTCCTATTTTTCTTTTTTCTTCTAATATAATTCATCAAAATAAACGCAGCACACGCAACTTGTAGGTCCGACATTTCAAAAAAGAATGAACGCAAGGTACAACGAAATGTTGGTAAATGCACACTCGCTGTGAGCATTTACCCGTAACATAACGCCGAGCATTCGCAGGAACGTTACATTACACAGAAATGCTCCAGAAAATGTTGTAGTCTATACTCACCTTAAGTGTGGTAAATTTCATACTCCTCCGTCCGCGCAAATATCGTAAAAAGGGGTACAAAAAAAAAGTAAAGTTTTTGCATCACGTATTAACATATAGATAAGTAAATGTTTCACAGATTTATAAACAATCGCATTCTTGATAAGAAATCTATCGGAAACACTTTACAAGGGTCAATCTTAGATGTTCCGGCAAATTCAAAATTGGTTCGAGCTGTTCAGGAAATCTATCTCGTGCTACTCATACCTCAGTTGGTTTAGCTACAAAGTAACGCATGCAAAGGGTCCGAGATTCGACGCGTGCTCACTTCTCAGTCTCGTTAAGCCTCATGCGGTATATTGTCGACAAATTGCCTGTAAAATCGCAACAATATTAATTACCGTCGACAATCACCACAACATAATTGCCATTGGGCCTACAAAGAAGCCTTTTCATAGCGGCGCTCGTAAAGTTTCGAGGCTGATTAAAATTTTTTAACGAGACCGTCCAATTATAATGCGGCGTCCGCCCTAAGTTGAGCCGCCGCGCCCTCTCGCGGGCGAACATCGTTAGCGTGGAGAGCCCACGAGTGGGGCTCTTAGCGGGCTGGTGGTAGTTTTTTTGAACAACAGTTCAAAAGCAGGGCGTGGTTGGTCCGAACAAAAAGCGTCGAGCATCAAAGTTTTCTCTCAGTCTCTTTTCTATACAAATCATAACACCGCTTTTTGTGGAACTGAACAAAAATCATAGCAAATTACTTTGAAAAGACCGTTTTTTTTTTCCGAAATCACTGCAGTTGTTTTACGAAACTGGAGATTTTGAATTATTTTTACGGAAAATGTGATAAATAGCTTGCTTAACCAATATAACTAATAATTATCAATAGTGTAGAGTTGTCGTGCATACATAGATTACATAACAAGTAATGATACCTATCGTGATAGGCAGCAAAAAATGTTTTTATCGTTAAACTAGCCATCGAAATTTACAGTAAACATTACACAATCAATGCTATTCTAAAAGTGTGCAAACATATTTGATTACATGTCTCATGTTTTTATACTACCACTGTTAGCTGATTCATATTTTTTTTAGTTTTTCCTTTTTTTTTCTTTCTATAATTTCTCTGCCTAATATTGTAATGTATTAGAGGGAATAGAAAATAAATAGGTACACTTACTTTTTGTTACTTTACAAACATGGTGAAAAAGTAGCATGGATGAAAATCTATATAAGTTATCCCTTTCAATCCTATAATAGGATAGAAAGGGATGCCTAGTCCTTTTCTTAATGAAAGCGAACTTTTAAAATTAGTTTAATTCAATTTTTTAAAGCGAAATACCACCTCAGAGACCATCCGGATTTCCAATAAGCTTATAAAGTTGTTTTTAATAGACCCTCAGTGGAAAATAGTGGGTCATTTGTCGGGAGAGATGTGTGAAGCATGAAACCACGGACCCTAATCCACTAACTAATTACAAAACCAACAAGACCCATTATTGGGCACTAAAAATTTTGTCGTGTGACCGGTTCGGACCCGTAGCCCGTAAGTATTACGTCATCCGTGCAGTTGGCATGAAAAATCCTAACAACATTATGGTGTTAACAATGAAATACGACACACGCTGTAAATATTATAATGATTTGTTAAAATTTGTTAAAATGCACAAATAGGCCAGTTAATTAGTATCACGGCCTCGCAGAAGACCAGACAGAAGTAAAAGTATTTATGCTATTTCTGTACCCTATAATATAACCGGTGCAAGACTTTGTTATCATAGGGCCCATTTATCTCGTGGAAACTACTACTTTTCTATGGATTTATTATCAGATGAATACGTAGAAAATGCTAGTAGATACCTATACTCGCCATAAAATGAAACATATGTCCTATTCATTTATTCATATATATATTAAATTATTCATTTATTTGTGTGTACATGTATCTATAATACCTATATTTACAATAGCGTATACCTCAAACCCTTCTCACTGATCATTGTATCCTCAGTAACATGGTTGCCTGGAAGAAATCGCTTCTAAGCGATAAGGCCGCCAATTGTACCTTTATGTAGTTGTTTGTTACTTTTGTAATTTTGTCTGGTGTACAATAAAGCGCATTTCATTTCCTACTTCATTCACGCGACGATAATACTGAGTATGGGCTCGTCTGTGAACGTTATTTGTAAAACGAACAGTTACATAAGAGAAAAGGCAATAGGAAAGTATTTCATAGCAGTGTGTACCTAGCGTTACGACTGACATAGATACTTAGATGAGTGCGATCGCCATTCTTAATTCAAAATTTTACAAGTAAAACGTATTTTTATAAAAAAAAAGACAATCTACTTCAAATATCTCACTCGGAATACATCATACTCGATTCTGAGTAATTCAAGATCCAATGACAACAAAATAAATATGGGACCACTGGGCAGCTAAACCAAACACAATGCAAAAATAATCGGTTCGCAAACGACGGTGTTCTGAGGTAACGAACGCACAGCCCAACAAACAGGACAGAATTTGAAACACCTCTATTTGAAGTCGCTTACGTCGAACACCACTCAGATTTCCCGCAGCGGACTTGCGGAAAAACGCACGGTATCACTTCCACGTGCCACGTAAAGGCGGACGAAGAAAGAAAAATGGCAATCGATCACATAATTAACGGGCATCGCGTGCCGAATGCGCGGGAAACGGCCACGCACACAAAGACACCGCTCACCCACTGACTGATATTTATTTATTGTCATTGACAGTTCGACGACCCGATTGCCGTATTACCCTGCCTCTTGGCCAGATGGTGTGGGTTCGATCCCCACCACTGGAAAAATATTGTGTGGTGAACATAGTCTTTCAGTGTCTGGGTGTTTATTTGTTAATAATATGTATTTATTTAAAAAATAAAAGTATGTTTATCGGTTATCTAGTACTCATAGTATCTTAGTCTTGGTGCCTTAGTTCGGGACTAGAATACGTTGTGTAAACATGTGTCCTGAAATATATATATTAAAAAATTGTCAGTGGCAATATGCGAAAGAGGAGCAATATTTTGCTTGCACACGGTGTTGTGGGCGATGCAGCACCTTCTGATGTTGCACGAGTGGTCAGGCTCGTCCAGGTAAGTACCACGACCGCACAGAAGACCGGCTTAGAGTGAGTGTTTATATCTTTTTTTTTTGTTTTTAAAAAAAAAAAAAAAAGTGTTTATATGCTTCTGCTTTTCTTCTGCTGAGTGAGGTAACCGGGCCCACACTTTTAAAGTTAGGTACCGCATTGTTTTGTTAATATCCATGAGTGGAGATAGTCGCCCATGGGCGAATTGTCTGCTCGCTTGCCAAATTTTCACATAAAGCTGACCTCGTCTAATGTAGCCCACAGCGCCTCAATGAAAAGATACACCCTGGTCAAAGTGTACCCATATCGAAAGTAGTTTAATGAATAGATTTTCGAGACAAGACATTTTTTTGATCATTTATTTACAAAAATTTGTTATGTTTATATTTACTATACTATTGTATTTAATATATTATATTTACAAAAAATTACAATCAAAATCGTTTAACAATAGATTACACGTAAATTATGTCTAACAAATATTACAGAAAGGGGGAGATCGTTGAACGCTTTCGAGATTTGAACTGACAACTCTCGATCGCTAGTTCACATCTCTATTCAATAAATGCTGCGAAATAAAAAAACCTATACAAATTTATGGCGACCAGAACTCAACTCGCTTATTGGTATACCTATCACGATATAAATAATGCAACTAATGTAATTGTTTGTTATCATTAGAGTCATAAACGATGATGTATCTCCCTATATGACAAGACCTGACCTGTCATGCTGCATGAAATCTTTTTTATAAATATTTTTGTGTTTTGCAATAATGATTTTGCAGTTACGAAGTTTTCGTAACGAGGCAATTAGTATCGCACCGATAACTCCTCTTTAATAATATCGATCAATATCGACGAATATGCGAAAGCTATGTGATTACCGCCACCCGTGAAAATTCACAGCACCTTTTAGCCGTTTAGTGTGCAAGTCCCAACGAGAAGCACGATCCCGAGTCACCTGCATGATACTTCATGCTTCTTGCACTTTTCACATTTGCACAGGTCGTCCCTCCATCTTTGGGGGCTGTCCAACACTGCGATGAGGTGGTACGAGGTGATGTGTGGTACGAGGCAGGAACCATTGCCAACCCTCAAAGCGCGAAAGCATAATGCTTCCAGGTCTTCTGTGGGGCCGTGGTACCACCCTGGTGAACCTGCCCATTCAGCATAAGCAGCCGCTTGGACCTGTAAGAATGGAACGTGGAAATGTAGGTTTATATTTCGAAATACTAACGTACATCTGTTTTAAAAGACAATATTCACTTTGTGTACTGGGTTCATAGACATAGGGAATATATAATGAGGGAACTTTTGACAAAATTTAGAAGAAATTCATTGAGAAAAATAAAAATGTACCGTGTAATATAACTTTACAGATTTAACACTTTGCGTTAAACAGTTTTTGTTGTCAAACTCTGTAACGTACGATATAATTAGTACACACATATATATAAAACAGCTGTATAAATAAGAAAAGTCTAAAGCTGTTTATAAACAGACAAAAAAATTACAAAAAGTCATTTTTGTACTTGTCTTTTCATTTATTTCTTCATTAAGATAAAAGATAAATAATTGCACAGAATATATTTCATTTCTAAGGTTACTTATGATTCGTAACCTAAGCCAAGTCATATGCATATTACATATTACTAATGAGCATTCATAAATCGTCAGAGTCAAGCGAAACACAAATGTAATATATTCTAATTATATGACCGCAAGTTACGTCAAAAACAACTCTAATTAAAAACAATATCACGTAACAACACAGAAAGGTAATCGTGGCATTTCTGTTATCACTGGCCGTTTAAAAAAAGAAAATCCACCTAGATAATAAGCATATAACTAAATCCATCCGATGCCCTTTATTTACCATGAAAAGATAAACAAGTCAAAACTTACGCTGCTTGAAATAATCAATTAGAAAGTCAGTTATAATTCACAGATTAATTTCAACGGACACGCGGAACAAACTAGGGTAATTCAACATTCTCGCGGTTAGGAGTTGATTAATTAAGAGGAAAATCCAGTTGTTTACATGCTGTCGTTAAGAAACGCCATCGCTCCAGCGTGACGGTTCGCTGGATCGTCACAAATGCCCGTTGAATTATTCATGAAATCACCAGCGCGGGTCGACCGGACATCGGACAACTGAGAAACAACACCAAGTACAGTACGTCGTATAAGATAATATGTACTAGTGGATACAGTCGTTCGTGAGTGAATTTTCTGCTCGTTTGCCAAATTTTCACGTAACACTTAACATCAGGTGAACGGACAGCTTGCTTGCTACCTTCTCAGATAAAGCTGACCACGCCTGATGTAGCACACCGCCCCTCAATGAAAAGATACACCCTGGTCAAAGTGTACCCATATCGAAAGTAGTTCAATGAAGAGATTTTCGAGACAAGCACTAAGATTTTTTTTTGTTCATTTATTGTATTTAATATATTATATTTACAAAAAATTATAATCGAAATCGTTTAACAACAGATTAGACGGAAATTATGTCTAACAAATATTAGAGAAAGGGGGACTGGAGTACATTACGTCGTGTGTGATAATATGAACTAGCTAGTGAGAGCGACTTCGTCTGCGCAGGATTAGCACTTCGGGTAGCTTATTTTCTTCTTCAAGGTCCTACCTATCTATGTACCAAAAATCACAAAAATGGGTTCTGCGGTTTAGTCGTGAAGGCGTAACAGACAGACAGAGTTACTTTGAGAGACCCTCGTGTCTTTACGAATTAATTATAGTTGTACTTTAGTTATTCTGATGTATAAGCTATATTATAGTAAAGTTTCATTAAAATCTATTCAGTAGTTTTTGCGTAAAAGAGTAACAAACATCCATCCATATATACAAACTTTTGCGTTTATAATATTAGTAAGAAGTAAGAAAATAAGTATGTAAGAATTATTAGACGCGTCTTTTGCTATTGCTATTGCCATATTTAATATTTGCCATTGAGAATTCGAACATAAGTGTTGCGTGTGGCTTTACTGTGGTAGGGTCACGAAACAGTTTTCACTGTTGCACGAAAGGGCAAGTCCGTCCGGGTAAGTACCACGATCTCACAGAAGGCCAGCGTGAAGTGTATTTGTTATTTTTCTGCATTTCGTCTGCTAAGTGCGGTAGCCGAGGCGCTCTTTATTATGCTGCAAATGTCAATGGGCGGCGGTTATCACAAAAAGCAACGGAAGAATTTGTTTACGTTTTTCCATTGCATTGCAATGTGTCTTCAGCCTTTTTAACTGCACTGTGTATTCTGCCATCGACATTCTCAACTACACATACAATTACTATCCTATTTCTATCACAGACAAGTCAATAGAAAGAAAAGCCAAACTTTTAACGGTTCGTGGCAGAAATACATTTATGAACGGACTCTCGATATCAGCTATGGATAAAATCAAGTTATATTAAACACCGATAGTGTAGGCAGAGCTCATGCTATTTTCAAACCGGACCGTGGACTGGAAAACATTCAAATTTGTCGCAATAACTACGCACTGTGAAACTAGAGACTCGATATATTCCATTTGAACCAATTCGCTTGTAAAAAAAAGTTAGACGAATACTTATTACAATTGAATTACCAGCAGACAGAAGACTTACTTAGGTCAGCAAAATGACTTGTCTTGTATCTTGTATTAACTGATGTTTTTGCTTTCAGTCCCGAGACTATTAAAGCTTCATCGGACGCAGAACCGGTGGGCTAGCCAGAACCCACGGGTTTGGACCCTCCGCTATGGGTAGGGTCGCGCATGTGCTCATGCGTGCGTTTAATTATGGTGTGTCATCTTAGGGCCGTCGAGGTCGCGGTTCGGACCGAGACCCCGACGGCCGTCGACTGTGCATTTAGCTAATCGGTGGCTGGGAGCGGTGAGAACCGCCCCGGAACGCGGCTGTACCTTGTGTACGCGTTGTGTGGGTCTCGCCGTGCTCGGAGGCGAGGGCGAACTGGTGTGATTGTTGTTACACTAACTGTGGGTGTAGTGTTATCCGGCGGGACCCCCGGCGGTGGGTCCATCGTATCTAAGTCCTCTTCGTCGACCGGGTCGATGAGAACGTTTCGCGGGCGACGCTTGTTTACGTTCGCGTTAGTGTCCGGTTGGTAGTTTGCTGCGCTTACCACCAGAGGGTTGGGGGATGATGCTGGGCTCTATCGAAGAACCGTTTTGTCAAATATTTAAAATGTGCGCGAATCGTCGGGAGTCTGCAATCGCTGTGCAGGTCGACGTTGCGCTGATAACATTGCGCACTGGTTGCGTGGCGGATAAACTTATTTTGTACTATTTGCAGCTTGTACAAGCGAGTAGGGTGCGTATGGGCGAAGATCATGCATGCGTAGGACATAATAGGTCGTACGCAGGTCTTATATAATAATAATTTGTGCGTTAGTTAAATTGTGTAGCCGGCCGGAGACGAACGCGGCTCTATTACGAACGTTATTAATGTGCGTAGTAAATGACATACGCGAGTCGAAAGTGACTCCTAAGTATTTGACCTTTTTCTCCCAGGGGAGCGGTTGGCCATATAGGGATATTTGCCCCAACTTTCTGCATTGGCGAGGGCCATTATAAAGATGTGACGGGTAGGTACTTCGTGTGAAGTGAATCGCCACACTCTTTTCGGGATTTATTTCTATTCTCCATTTGCGGAACCAATCGCCGAGGCGGTCGGCAGCGCTTTGGAGTCGAGCGGTTAGTTGTCTAAGGTTGCGGTCTGAATAAAAGAGCGCCGTGTCATCCGCGAAAAGCGCGAGATTGACGTGGGGTTCTTTAGGTATATCGCTCGTGTAGAGCGTAAAGAGCAAAGGTGAGAGGCAGGAGCCTTGTGGTACGCCGGCCGTGAGGCGGCGGCTTGTGGAGGGTGGGTGCCCTCGACTCGATGATCGTAAAAAAGAGCGATTCAACATCGAAAAAGGCCCCCGGAGTGGTTTGGTGTGTACGAGACCTATCGGGCACTTTGAGTGTGTACAGCTTCCCCAGGCAACTGAGGAGGCTCGTAAAGCAAGCCGTTGTGCCAGACTTTGTCGAATGCTTGGAATTGAAAATGGTGATAAGCGGCCCAGGGGACTTTGAATCGGGGTGTGGTTCGCGGGGGTGAATTTAAATGGCGTAGCCCAGTTGCTGGCTCTAGGTTGTCCGCGTACAAGGTTGTCCGGCATTCGGCTTTTTCGGAGTCATGTAGGGCTACTGAAGCGCTATTAGGTCTAACTAACGGCGGTAGAGATTCGCGGGGGTCTGCTTTCAGACTGCGGGCCAACCGCCAGTAGGCGGTGTGCGATGGCTCGATGTTCTCTAGGAGAGTGTCCCACGTTGTGTGTCGGTGTTCCGATACACGATCTTTGACTTCTAGCTGAAGGCGTCGAAGTAGGGTTCGGTTCGATTCCGATCGGTATCGGTCGAAGGCGCGTTTGGCTGCATTTTTCTGTCTAATTAGCAGTCTTAGGTCGGGTGGAAAGTTAAACCGTCGGTCGCCCGACAGTTTCACCCTCCGTTCCGAGTCTGTGACTGCGGAAGTAATAGTTTCTCGGAGACTCGCTATCGCTCGATTTGCGTCATCGAACGTAGCTATCGTCTCGGGTAAGTCTACTAAGTCCTGGGGGTCCAAAGCCTTGAGTTTGACCTCAAGACGATGCCAGTCCACTACGGATTTGGTCGGAGGGAGGGGACCGCGCCGGCGTTCTGGCCCAGCTTACACAAGACGGGCCTGTGGTCTGAGTCTAGTTCATGGATTGTCTCTATCGACTCGATGTCGAGCGAGACCTCCCTGAATAACATAATGTCTAGGACACTCGGTGACGCGTGTCCTAGACATCATGTAGTTGTGTGTCCTAGACATCATGACTCGGTAGTTGTCCACCGTAGGATACCTAGTGGGAGTCGCGGAAGCGACTATGCTAAAGTTTAGGTTATCGGATAAGCTAAAGAGATGCTTTCCGTTGTTATTTGGGATGCTGTTGGTGTCCCATGAGCCGTGTTTGCAGTTTAGATCTCCTGCAATTATCACGGAAGGGCCTAAGTTAAGAAGCGTATCTAGGTCGCTTTGAAGGTTCTATTCCCCGAGAGGTAGGCTGAGACTAGTACAAGCGGCCTGTGGCCGGTGAGCGCTAACCTACACGCGGATGCCTCTATTTGACTTAGTGATCTGCGCAATCTTTTGGCCTCGTGAACTCGGTTGTGCCGTGGTCACCGGTGCATTTGACGCACCTAGGGTGAGCGAAGCAATTATTGGCCGTGTGGCCCAAATGTTGGCACTGTGCCACAATACCTGATTTGCGCGGGGGCTCGATGACTAAGTCACTGAGCCCACACACCCTCTTTAGGTTGAAGATGGCCTTACCTTCCGGGGTAGAGTCAAGTTCAACCATGACCATGTCCATAGGGACACGGGGTATCCCTGAACGGGGTTCTTGGGTGCCTAAGACGTCGCACTGCATGTACGGGGTATCCCTGAGTGCGGATGTCGACTTTAGCCTTATCGACATCCGACTCTTTGGGGACGCCCTTTATTACTACCCGAAGTTTACGCTCTTCGGGCAACGAGTAGGTGTGAAAACCTACCTTATTTTCGCGTAAATACTTTGTTACGCGGCGGAAATCGTCTGTTTTGTCCAGGTATACGCGGATACCCATGTGTGTATTTTTTAACCGGAGGTCGCGGATGTTGTGGCGTTCAAACCACGAGCATACTTGATGCCACTTTGCCTTTTCTTGGATTATTGGCGGCGGTGGCTTAATTTTTCGCTCGGAGGCGAATTCGGGTACCAATTGGGCACTCGCGGCTGCCTTTTTGGCGGGCGTTGCGGTGGGATGGTTAGATGGGGCGGCCTCGCATTCGGGGTCGCTGTCAGTTGCGGGGCGTTTTTTGCCCTTTTTGCGCGACTTTACGACGGTGAAGCCGTCGGCGTTCGCGTTATCAGCGGGGGTCGTTTCGACCTCCATGTCCGAGCCGCCGTCGGACTGTGAGTCGGGAACGACATCGCGGAAGGGGGCCGAAATTGGTTGCGCGGAAGGCGCGTTGGGTTCGTTCGCGGCGGCGGAAGTCGACGCGACGGGCGTTACTAGTGTCGCAGAAGGCGACTCATTAGCTGGCGCAGAGTGCACCGGAGATGGCGGCGAGGCGACTGCCGGTG